TAATGAAACTTTAATCAAGTTTCAAAATTAGATATATTGTTCTCTGCTGACCAAACAGAACACAAAGGCTCATCTCACGCCAAAAAACATCCTGATGGCCCCTGAGACTTTTGAGCAAATATTCTGTGGACTGACAGGACAAAAGCTGAACTTTCTAGAAAGATTGAGCCACTTAATATCTGGCGTCAAACTAACACAGCATTTCATAAAAAGAAGATCATACCAAAAGTAAAACATGGTGGCGGTAGTGTGAATGTCGGTGGTTGCTTTGCAGCTTCAGGACCTGAATGACTTCTGGGCGACTCTGCTCTCTACCAGAAAATGCTGACGGAGAATCTTCAGCCATCAACGGTGCTCAGGAAACTCAAGGACATTTGGCTTAGTCAGTAGGACAATGATCCAAAATACACCAGGAAGTCCACCTCTGAATGGCTCAAAAACCAAAAACAAATTGAAGGTTTTGGAGTAGTCCAGTCAAAGTCTGAACTTAAATCAGACTTAGATGCTGTGGCATGACCTTTAACACATTGGAGAGGTTTCCGACCATGCCGGAAACCTCTCCAATGTGGCTGAATTAAAACAATTCTGCAAAGATGAGTTGGCCAAAATCCCTCCACAATGATATGAAACGCTCATTGCCGGTTATCGCGGTTCTTGCTATCAAGGGTGGCACAACCAGTTATTAGGTTTAAGGGACAATTACTTTTTCATACAGGTAGTTTTCGGCAGTTTTTTTCCTTTGATAAAAAAAAAAAAATCATGGTCATCATCATTTAAAAATTGTGAGAAATATGGAAAAAAAAAATCAAGAAGGGGGCAAATACTTTTTCATAGACCTGTAGGAAAAGTTTTCTAATAGGCACGTAGATTAACTTTTAGTCCACTTGCTGTATTTGTGACTTCATAAGAGGTTTCTCCAGCACTTCTGCAGCTGTTGTCTGTAATGAATCTGTCAGTATAACACAATCTCCCACTAGTGGTGAAGAATAGCTCAGGTTTAGGTGTCACAAACCAGAACACACTTACATTTCTGTGCCAAAACAACACAGGCATTTATGTGAGAAAGTGTAACTGCTGAAAAATAATATTTTAAAGGTATTCTCATCATTAGATCCGTTTCCTTAAAATATAGATTTTAAATGTTCCAGGATGACCACTAATAAGACAGTACTCCACTTACACCTACTGCAGAAAACTTAAAAAACCAACATTACCTTCAAATAGAGAAAAGCTAATAAGTGTCTGTGGTACATTTTCCATCCAATAAAGTGCTTCCAGCCACCTCTGTAAAGAGCATCGTGCCCAGCAGTCATGTAGTAAAGTCACTGTGAAGTACATGCAGTATTGTCCTTATTCTGCATTAACAGCTGCTGCTGTGATTGAAATGATTAATTAGCTAATTTCTTTTACTGTACAACGTATCAGCTATAGTGGTAACGGTTACCTCCGAGCACTTCCTATTGTACTTTGTATACCACTCTTATTTTGTAGCACACAGCACCAGCATAGCACAGATGAAATGCTGATACTAAAAATATAATATACGAGAAAACAATTTTATGTAATTCTGTGTCTTTTCTTTTTTTTTTTTCAAATAAAGTCAAAACCTCCCAGTTCTGGTTTGTTAGTTTTATTTTGTGTGAGGAAAAAAAAAGCACAACAAAAAGAACCATGAAAGGGAGAAACAAAGAATAAAATCTCTGGAAACTTACAGGAGATCAGCCATGACATGGAAAGAAGACAATCACACAGTAGAAAAATAATCCAAAACAAATGTTCTTCCGGCTCATCCCTGTAAGGTAAGAACTGATGATATTTGGCCATAATGGCTTGTAATATCACAGAAGCAGCTCTCCCTGTTTTGAGCAGGAGGGCAAGAAGTCCTAACCAAGAACAGGCAAGAACCTGGCTAACTTTTAAAACAAAGGGACTCGTGTAGATGAAAGCCTTCAATCTGAGACAGGTCTGACACAACAAGACCTGCAGCATACAAGCTGGCCGTGTACTGCTAGGTTCATAGATTATATAAAACCGTGATGTTACTCACTGGCTGCTGAAGTCCCGGCTTTAATTCTCACACTGAACATCTTGATTTCCCCATTTTAGTGTTTTGAAACAAGAAGTGACAGCAAAGGGGTGCAAATCCACAGACACTACACACTCGTATGTCAGCAGTCAGATAAATCACAATTTACAAACATTAGGTTATGAAATGAGATCTTGAAACTCTCCAGAGAAAAATTAACTGGGCTAATAACTCAAAGGCGCTAAAAGCTAACTTTCCTGTAGACTTGCAATAATCAGACTTCTTTTTTCAGTCCATGAGCTGCCCCCTACTGGCCATTAAAAAGAATGCAGGTTTACAACACTTCCCCAACCTGGAAGTCCTTAAAAAAGGATTTTTCAATATTTTATCCTCCAAAATCCACATTTTTGGAAAAAATTTGGAACAGCATCTGAAATCTGTAGTGCCTTTAAAAGGCTGTTTTTCAGTGTTTAATCACTACATTTCCCTGAGAGTCTTGAGTAAACAGCATCTCTTCATCCTCTTCCTCCTCCTCTGGCAGAGATTTGTAAGCACTCACCACTCCCGTGCTGACGTTACTCTGATCTTTGAGAGGACTCCTGGTGTGCAGACCTCTATGTGCGATTACCCTGAACCCTTCAGAGTCCTGAGTGAACAAAGTGGCCAAACTGTCCTCATCGAGTTCTCTGTTTCGCTGCTGCGGCATTTGCCTTTTGAGAGGAGAGCTTATCGGTTTTGTCCTCTTGATCTGGAAGGCAGAGCTCTCTTCTTTTGCAGCATTTTCCCACAGCTGACCTGTTTGTTTCCGAGGTGAAGCAGTTTTTGGTTGTGTCCACTTATAATTTGAAACAGGTCTGAAATGAGAGGAAGATGAGTCTTTGCTTGGGGAATTATAAGACGGTGGCGTGCTGTTTTCCTTCTCATCAATCATACAAGAAGATTGAAGATGTTTAAAAGATTTCTGAGTTGAGGTTCGTCCTTCTGCATCTATCAGTTTTCTAAAGACCTCCTTCTCATTCTGCAGACTGTTTAGGAAACTTGGCCCAGAGCTGCTGAAGTTCTCCACTGTTGTACATTTGTGGCTAGTCTGATGAAAGTCATTTTCAGTGTACTGACTGAAAGTGAACAGCGGGTCCTGACTCCACGTCTGTGGTAGAGGTTGACTGTCATCTTGTGTAAAGATGGCATCAGAGACCCTCCTCTTACTCTGTGGTGGTTCACACTCTTCAGGCTTCTCTTCTTCAGATTCACAGTATATGTTTTGTAAAGTTGAATGGTTTTCTGAACGCGTCTGCCATAATTCTGTTTCCTTCTCAGTCATATTTTCACTTGTACACTCGTCAACCAAAACAGGCTCAAAGTTGGAGTTTTCAAAACCAACATTGCGCCCTCGTTTTTTCCCTGATGCTGTGGCTGTCGGTGTAGTTGAGGCAGATGATGAAAGAGGCTGCACTGAATCCATGTTTGGTGGCTCAGACGTGGACATCTTATTGAGGACTTTTAGAAGAAAGTAACAAAAAAATTATGTTAACACAAAATCAAATAATTTACTGTATTAACTTGTATGCTTATTGATCACTTCATTAGGTACATCTGTTCAATTTCTTGTTAACACAAATATTTAATCAACCAGTAATGTGACAGCAATGCAGACATGATTAAAACGACCTACTGAAGTTAAGACTGAGCATCAGAAATGAGATGAAAGGCGGTTTAAGTGAGTGTGGACATGGCATTGTTATTCGTGTCAGACAGTCTGATCTAGACCATCAGACTATAAGATTAGACTATAACTTTTGGCAGACTTTTAGATGCTTACCTCTCCGATGAGCTGTGAAAAAGGCAGATATGGAGCTCTGTTTGGTTTTTGGCATTTCTGTTTTGGTCTGAGTGAAGTTGAGTGCCACAGCCAAACTGTATCCAGCACCTTCACAAAAAGGGTTCAGCAGTTTAGAAATAGGACGGCTACGGCGCTTCTGAAAGATATAAAAGAGAACACAGTGTGTAAACAGTAATAGACAGAGACTGCAGATCAGCATTTTAGTGTATTAAATAACTGCTCTACTCAGGCATGCTGGAGAAACCATTCGGTCAGTGTTCAGACCCTGTTTACACAATTACCTGTTTAGCTTTTCCTTTCAGCTCCACAGTGTCCAGCCAAACATCACAATCCTCTTGATCAAAGGTCTGCGGTGCTGCTGCAGTGCTCTTCATGGTGGACAGCCCAGGGAAGATACGCTCTGTATGAAATAAAAACAGGATTTTATAAACGAGTTAGACATGCCGTTTATTTTAAATAAATAATCATTATACTTTAAAAACTATTTTCGTGTCTCTCGTTGATGAAGATGTTTGCAAGAAACCTTTACTTATCTTTAACTAATTCAATAACGCTACCACAGTCCTGTGAGTTAGCTACAGTTGGTTAACATAGCTCTTAAAACAGATTTTTGGGAAATACCTTATGATTCAATGAAGATCCAGAGTAATATTTTGAGGTTTCCTTTGCAATTTTTATAATCGTTTGTATAACTGAAACTCTCTAGTACTCGGTTCAATCTGCCGCCTTCAGGACTGTCTGCCCCTGATGATTGACTGTGTAAAAATGCCTTAATGTGGTTGTACCTAAAATGCGCGATTTAATTTAAAAGACAGTTTAAAAGTATGATATATAAAGACGTTCATAATACTCTTTCATCATAAAAATGTATTTATGTCTAATTAATAAAATTTACCGTAACAATATTCTTCATTTCTAGTTGGGCGCGTTGGACACCTAATATTTTGACGTCTGCCGGTCCGTGCGTAGATGTGGGTGTGTTTACGTTGACGTCATCGCAGTTTTTCCGACAGGGTGAGTGAATTGTTTT